GGCCATTGTAAAGCACATTGAGCTGGACTTGTGTGTCAAATTTCAAGTCAGTAAGACTCACGGTGTGAGGAGCATGGCCTTTACAAAATTGAATTTTTGGACCTTGGTGTAATTTATCATGTGAAAGTTAGAGTTTCAGCCCGTCACGCTTGAACCCCTAATGACAAAAGCTGTCAGTGATTGCAATAGATTGAGGTGTGTCTGTGTCTGTGTGCAGTGAAACCTGTTGTGCCACGGTGCAGCGTGCCAGAGGCGGTCACAGTTGGAACATCAACCGAGCTGCGATGTCTGGAGAACGAGGGCTTCCCTGCTCCTCAGTACCGCTGGTTCCACAACAACGAGGAACTTCCTCAGGACCCCAAAAACAGCCCCAAGTTGGCCAACTCTACCTACACCATCAACCCTGACACTGGAGGCCTGGTGAGAAAGACGGGTTGTGACTTGTGTACTTCATCATCTGCGCAACCTGTCACTAAAAGCATGGCAACATGCACTATTAACTATTAGAATATTATAAGAAATCAACCTCTCTCTCTCAGTCATATGTTGAAGAGGTAGCTGGTTGTTCTGTTTGTGGATGGCACTCTGTAGCATCAAGGATGCTTAATTACAGCTTATCTAATGCAAATGTGAAACAGCTTAATCTGAATAAAACCTTAACCATCAGATGACTAATAGCAGGATTAATCCATGCGTGTAAAGATAGCCAGAGAGGAAGCTCAACCTAAAACTGGCGTATGAAAGAAGGATGATGTTGCATTCAAAGCCAAGGTGATGTGTTCACAGGCATAACAGCCATGTTATTTAACACATTTCCGTATCAAAAATAGTTACAACAAAATTTGAGACAGTTAGCTTTTAGAAACTGTCATGAGGTTTTATTCACAGCCAAACATCCTTAGCGTTTTGCTGAAAATGCAGCTGTCTGTCATTGCTCTGAGAAATCTCTAAAAATGTCTCCTCAGAAATTTCGAAGAGTGAGGAAGGAGGACGCAGGGGAGTACTACTGCCAGGCGAAGAATGATGCCGGACATGCACAGTGTCCCTCTCAAATGATGGAAGTCTGTGAGTGTCTAAATGTCTGAGTCACTATTTTCTATCCAAGATATCAGAGTTTTTTCTAAAGCTGTCTTATGTAATCAGCTACCAGAAAAAAATAGTTCATAAAGCTTTTAAGTTTTCTACCAGCAAATATTTGACATCTTTACATGATAGCTGGCTATTAATCAGCTGAACCATTAATCAAGTGATGATCTCAGCACCATGATTGATAACATAATAATTAGGCTACCTAACTGTGCGTGCTGTTGCAGATGACGTCGACATCCTGGGGATTTTCCTGAAGTCGTTTGGTGCCGTGACTGTTTTCTTCTGTTTGGCTGCCTCCATTTGTCACTCCTTTAAACGTGGATGCTTCTACAAGAAAGGTCACAATGAAAATAAGTGAGTATAATTCTGAAGAAGGAAACAGGCAGTGAGTTATTCTGTCTTGAATTCAACACTAACTAATATTTTATTGGGTATTTTTAATGTCTTTATTTCAGCTACAACTGGCCAGCACAGAACGATGGTGTCGAATATGGTGATGCAGATGAGGTAAGCTCAATCTGCAGAGCACACACAGCATTTATTCCATGTCTTACTATGAACAAATTAAGTTTTTAAGGAGCAGTTCTGCATGCCAATTTGATAATTCCTGTTTTGTCACAGGGCCACTTTCGCCACAAGTCCTCCTTCATCATCTGACAGCTGCGACGGAGGACCGGATGGAACCGAGACAAACACAAACTGTCGAGGTTAACTTGCTACAATGACGCTCCAGGTGGTAAAGTTTGAGGTGTAACATGGCACATTATTCTCTGATGCACATCAAAATCAAATCAACCGACTTGCCAAAGTAATTTTAATATCATTTTGTGGCACTGTTTGATATTTTTTATAACATTGTAGCATTTTTTTATTTTTCTCTCTATCAGTACTAATTTCCGTTTAAAACACTGTTTTTTTTTTACTCCTTATTTCTGTTATTTCAACTGATTTGCCGTCATATTTTTATTATATAATGAAACCATTTCAGAGCTGTGGAATTTGATATTTGGCCCACGATGCTGGAAGCTACATTCCTTCACAGTTTTTTGAACAAATCCTCTTTTATAACTGTTAAACTTTTTACTGAGTACACTGCAGTTGTTTTACAAAAACTCCTTTACATTATCTTTATTCACAAGATAACCACGTTCTGATTTTGTTTCACACGGGGAAGAGTTGAAACTTGTTTTTGTATATACTGTAGTTATACAGGCAATAAGCAGCAGACTGTAAAAGGCTGATGAGCTCAGATTCATAAGGCACAATTTATCAGCCTTTCTTATATTCACAGATGATACCAAGTATGTACGAGTACAGAGTAATCCCTGAGTTTGAATATCATATATCCCACTATGCTGCAAAGTCAATATGTACTATAAAGGTGGTGAAGTATGATTTTTAGAGTGCTGTTTCTGTGTATAAGTGACCTTCTGTGCTTTACTAATTATTTTACGAGTATTGGACATATTGTCCAGTTTCGACTCAGTATTTAATGTACATAAATACATACATTTTTTGATCTTTTAATTTTCATACATAGCACTCCATACCTTATTGTAAATACTGCAATAAAACTGTTTGTTGGAAATAAATGTACAGTATTTACTGTTCAGTGTGTATCTGCAGTGTTGAGCCTGTCATTTCGAACATTAGTGTCAATGATTTGTGTAACAACTCAGGAACTGTTGTAAAATGTCCACTGTTCATTTGATATTAATGCTATATGTTCATGTTATTTTGTTACTATTAAATACGTTTGAACTGTAATTGTTGTGGAGACTCAAATGTTTCATGTGGTTCATTATGGGAGTGTATTGTAAGAATGGTTTAGAGAAAGTATTAGAAAGTAATCCTACAGCGGCAAGAGACAAGAAAAATCTGTGAGAAAGTAACTTTGCTAAACTGGTTATTGACCATAAATGTCTTTAATAATCTGTTTCAAAATTAATTTCTTGGCAGCTATGTTGTCTTGAATATGACATTTTAAACACTTTAATTCACACAGTAATTATAGCTTCAAGTGTTTTATTATTACCATATGTCTTACTGTGTGGTGGAAGAAGTATTCAAATACTTTACTCAAGAAAAAGTAGCTATACCACAATGTAAAAATATTCCATCACAAGTAAAAGTATAGTGATCATATTTTTATATGTATGTAGAGTAAAAAGTACAATAGTTCCCTCTGAATTGAAGAGTTGAGTTGAAGAGAAGTAGAGCCGAAGTAAAAGTAGAAAAAAAATTGACATACCTGTAAAGTAATTGACTTAAAGGTCCAGTGTGTAGGATTTAGGGGCATGTATTGGCAATGATACAATAATAGTCATAACTATGTTTTCATCAATGTAGCATAGAATCACCTGAAAATAAAAACTGTGTTTTCATTACTTTAGAATGAAGCGTGTATAATTACAAACAGCGGGTCCTTTTGCCTCTTCCACACACCAGTGGTCATCCACAACCAAACCATCGCACAAGTCGATCATATAAATATATTGGTGTCTTTGTTGACAATTCACTAGCCTCAAATACAAATGTTGATAGTCTCTGTAGCAGAATACAACAACGGCTGCATTAAGTCATTTGAGAGTTCATGGTGGATACATTTTTATCAGGTAGTCTTAGAGAGCCCAATCAGGTACAGTATCGCAGCTTGGTTCAGTAACCTCTCTGTGCAGTTAAAAAACAAACTGTTCTGATTTATCCATACTGTATGAAAAATAATTGGTACAAAGAGCACATTTCCATGCAGACTATTTTTGAACAGGCTACTCTAATTCAAGCCAATAAGATCATCAATGAGTCATCGCATGTTCTGCATGCACAGTATGAGCTACTGCCCTCTTGTAGGAGATTTAGAGCGCCTCGTTGGACATTGAATAGATTTAACAATTATTTCATAATTGTGTCTATAAGGCTTTTAAATAATGGCAGATAAAGGCAGAACTGGCTTTTTAGCATTTGTTGTAATTTATTCATATTTTTGTGCCTTTTTTTGTTTTGTTATTGCTATGTTTAGTGTATAATGTATTATGTTGATTTGTTTATGTACTGTGTTATATGTTGTATTTTTGTGGCTGTAGTATGGCTGTAGAGCCCAAGACAAATTTACCACTCTGTGGGACAATAAATTTAATCTTGACCTTGGTTCTACAGTAGCCCAGAATGGACATAACAAACACTAACTCTAGAAGGGCCCATTAATGTCTTTGTGGTGGCCACCATAGTTCTCTTCTACAGGCTTAGTTAATGGGAGAAGTTTCACTTCTACAACCTCACTGCTAGATTCACATACTGAACCTTTAAGTGTAGTTTTGAGGTACTTTCCATTTTATGCTACTTCACTTCAACTCCACTACATTTCAGAGGGAAAATGTGTACTATACTACAATTATGTCACATAATAGTCACTAATTACTTTACATATTAACATGCTATATTCAAAATCTGTGATAATCTCAAATATTATACATTATTATAAATACAATTTACTCAACAATATGGTAAACATCATCTCCTCTTTAATCAGCTACAGTGTTAAAACACATTTATTGACAGGGGTCATTCTCTTCTATAATTAATACTTTTATTCAAGGTATTTTGAGCAGGCCTACACATCCCTGTTGATGTGTTTTACCTGAGAAAATATTAGAATGCATGACTTTTATTTTTATATTGTGGTACTGCTCATTCTAATAAAGTAAAGGACCTGAACACTTGCCACCATTGTTTTTTTTTTAAATTATACTTATGTGCAGTAGCCTATGTGGATGAATATATTTAGTTTTCACCACTGTCCTCACTGAAATAAAGCATAAATACAAATTAATATACACGATTTCACTCACTTCCGGTTGAACTCCAACGACTTCTGGGTTTTATTTTGAAAAGCTCCACCCGGAAGTAGATCATCCAGTGCAGGTGGCGTACATCCTGATCATTTGACAACATTCACCGTCTTTTCTTACAGAAAACAAACATGTAATAGATTTTTACAGAGCGAGATTTTTGTCCATTACGGAGCAGACTAGTTTGTGGCGGGTGTAGACTATTTCCTGGAGACATTAAAGTCAACAGAAGGAAAGCACAAACGGCTTATTTGCTGATGGACGTATTATTGTGCGTTTTGGTTGTGCCATCGTATTGCTATTTTGCTCCGTCGGTATGGACATGTAGCTAATGTGGAGTTGTCTGTAAAACATCGTCGACTTTCTCCATGTTGAATAGTGTGTTTTGTGCTCGGAAAGGGAACTGAGGTCGCACACCCTGCAGGCCTTACTGTGGTTTCTACTTTGAAACATTAGCAGGGTTTTTGGGTCAGTTTGCTTACAAGTAAGTCAGGACAGGAGTTTACACGGCACACACGGTTACTGCTTCACGTCACGATGAGTTTCTTTAGTTTTGGACAAAGTGCAGAGATTGATGTGGTCCTCAATGACGCCGAGACGAGGAAGAAGACTGAACACAAGACTGAAGATGGGAAGAAAGACAAATACTTTCTCTTCTATGACGGTGAGACTGTCAGTGGGAAGGTGAATGTCACACTGAAGAACCCTGGCAAGAGGCTCGAGCACCAGGGCATCAAGATTGAATTTGTGGGCCAAATAGGTAGGTTTAAAATAATAACTTGCACAACTGACACATTTTTACATGTTCACCAATGACTTGACAGTTGCCTCCGTTGAAACCCCTAATGTGGTGACGTTATGACGTCATGGTGCACATAAATTATATCAAAAAGCCATTTATATTAGGAACTGTACACAAATCATTAGTGTGGGAAGTAGGGGCTGAACATTACACTTAAAATCAACAGAAGTACACACCCCTAAATTCTTTTTACACCTTTTTAGAATGAATGGCAAGAATTTATGGGACCAGTTTAGTAGTGTTACATTATTTTAACATAATTTCAAGAGGTGTATTGTCGCTGTTGAGGGCCTCTCACAGGGCTAAGCATCCATTGTTCCAAAAAATATGCACACAAAGATGTTTGAAATGCTGAGAAAGTCTTATCTGTAGGTTTGTCCAAATTCTTCCAACTCCTAAGACTCTTCCAACCAACCATTAAAATATTCAGTTTGCAACACAATAAAAAAAGAATTACCAGTTTCTAAACATGCAACCACAGTTGCTAATCTAGGAAACTAGAAACAACAGATCTCGTTCTTGTTGCTAAATATTAGAATGTTATTTTGTATGATGATATATTGCGAGCGAACTAAGGGAGGAGATATGTCATTTTCAGCCACCAACTTGAGAAGCAGGTTAAAAAAATGTTGTTATATCGTCAGGCAAACAGAAAAAATAGAAAAGTATTTGAGGATTCCATTAAACAACCATCTGGGTTTTACAAATATTGCCAGGTATGTATAATTTTTTTTAGGAAAATGACATGCTTAGGCCTGATATTTGTATATAGTGGTATTATTTAAGAAGCACAAACTAGGGTAAGGCCTTCCTCAGTGTTATCAGTGTTATCCTTGGACCCTTATCATCATTAAGTGAAAAATGGCAACACCCTCCCCACATTGTTTAAAATTTAGAGAACCAATTATGCAAATATATGTGGAATATTCAGTTGCCAGAATTATGTTAAACATATATTATGATGGACAGAATGTATATACATGATATCTGTCCAGAACTTAATCAATAACATGGGTACATTTCAAGATGTTCTCATTACAGGGGTAAATGTTCAGCAAAATCTTAAAGTGGACATTTTGCTAATGACTTCTGTCTTTTCTAGAGCTGTATTACGACAGAGGAAACCATCATGAGTTTGTTTCCCTGGTGAAAGATCTTGCAAGACCGGGTGAAATAACTCAGTCGCAGACCTTCGACTTTGAGTTCACTCATGTTGAAAAACCTTACGAGTCCTACACAGGCCAGAATGTCAAGCTAAGGTAAGTTTGATCATTCACTCTGCTTCACAGGCAGTCGTATGAATGACTCAGTGTCACTCTTTAACCTACGTATCACATGGTTACATTTAAATGGGGCATTTTAATGCATGCCATTGTCTATGTTTACCTTGCAGTACATTTTATGGCTTAGATGTGATAATGTTAAAACAGTACTGTTTTCAGTCTCTGTGTGTACCATTTGCAGATATTTTCTTCGTGCCACAGTGATCAGAAGACTAAATGACATCAGTAAAGAGATGGACATCGTGGTCCACACGTTGAGCACTTACCCTGAGCTCAACTCCTCCATCAAAATGGAAGTTGGAATTGAGGATTGTCTCCACATTGAGTTCGAGTACAACAAATCCAAGTAAGACTTGTAGGGATGCAACAAAGCTGTATTTTTGCAATTTGATAGGACACATATTAAGTGTGAAGGGGGGAGAGAGAGAGGGAGGGAGGGAGGGACACGCAGCAAAGTGCCACAAGCCTGAATCCCACCTGTGGCCACTGCACCAAGGACACAGCCGTTGTACATGGGGCGCCTGCTCTACCCAGTGAGCCAACGGGCGCCTCATACCCAATTCATTTTAGTGAACTCATGAGAAATAAACAATTTAATGGTGTTTTTTAAAACTGAATTTGCAAAGTGTAAATAGGCACAAAGAAAGATCATCTATAAATTCAAGGTTTAAAATGATAATAAATTCACTTGCAGAAAATTAAATGCCCGATTCAGCAAAGAAATCTAAATAAGATGAAGCGTCTCTAACTGCCTTTTAGAAGTACTAGCATTCAGCAGTCAAAAAGCCAAATATATTCAGTCTACTATAACAGAAGATAAAGAAAACCACCAAGTCTTGATATTTAAGAAGCTGAAACAAGTGAATTATTTTGCCATTTTTACTTAATTATCAATTTCATGTGGACTGACTGATTAATGCATCGATTATTTCAGCTGTAATTGTGTTATTTCATGCTGTCCAAGTTACGGCAATCAAAAGTGTCCAGTGAGACATTGGGGAAATAATCAAATACGGGGCGTCGGTGGCTTAGTGGTAGAGCAGGCGCCCCATGTACAAGGCTATTGCAGCAGCGGCCCGGGTTCGACTCCAGCCTGTGGCCCTTTGCTGCATGTCATTCCCCCTCTCTCTCACCCCTTCACACTTGTCTGTCCTGTCAAATAAAGGCTAAAAATACCCCAAAAATATCTTTAAAAAAATAAATAAATAATCAAATACTATTCTGCGTGAAACAAATATTGGTGCTCAGTGACTGAACGACTTGTTATTTACAGCCCTCGTTCTCATTTTCTGCTCATGTCTCCATTTGTCCTCTGACAGGTACCATCTGAAAGATGTAATCGTGGGAAAAATCTATTTCCTGCTGGTGAGGATTAAGATTAAGCACATGGAGATTGACATCATCAAACGTGAGACAACAGGCACCGGCCCAAGTGTATACCACGAAAATGACACGATCGCCAAGTATGAGATCATGGACGGAGCTCCGGTCAGGGGTAAATGACACTTATTTATGATTTCAGTCGGTTATTATAATCATGAAACATCTCCTCGCTCTGTCAGGATTTATGTTATCCAACCTGTGACAATGTATTTCATATTTTAGGAGAGTCCATCCCAATCCGGTTATTCCTGGCTGGTTATGATCTGACTCCCACCATGCGAGACATCAACAAGAAGTTCTCTGTGCGGTATTATCTGAACCTGGTGCTGATCGACGAGGAGGAGAGACGCTACTTCAAACAGCAGGTAGGCTGCTGATCAAAGATTCAGAAGAGAACAAGTTGGACTGGCCGCTCTCAGGCTCAGGCAGTGTATTTACACACTTGCGTAATGATTGAAGCAGCTGTGAGTGTGTGGTTTGACTAGTGGGATGTCAAGTGTTTAAATAAATTCTAGGTGGGATCTGCAGAAAGAACCTGGGTGACAGAAAATAAGTATTTAATATTGGTGCAGTGGTTAGCATTGTCGCCTCACAACTAGAGGGTTCCTGGTTCAAATTTGGGGTGGTGGGCTCGAAACTCAGGGTGGGGGAGCCCTTCCGTGTGGAGAGTGCATGTTCTCCTTGTGTCACCATGGGTTTTCTCCAGGTACTCCGGCTTCCTCCCACAGTCCAAAGACATGCAGGTTACTTGGTGACTCTAAAGTTGGCCGCAGGTGTGAATGTGAGCATGAATGGTTTGGTTTGTCTGTTGTCTGTTCGCCCTGCAGTAGTCTGGCGACCTGTCCAGGGTGTACCCTGCCTCTCGCCCAGTGTCAGCTGGGATAGGCTCCAGCCCCCTCACGACCCCCAGCAGGATAAAAGATTCAGAAAATGAATGTATTGGAAATGTGTTCAGCTTTCTTCCCCTCGTAAAGTCTAATTGGTAGTAGCACTCAAAAGGTACAGTTTAATTAATGGGCTTGTTTAAGATGAGCGAGGCCTCTGCAGAATCCATCAATGTCAATTGCCACACAATGTGTGCGGCTTTGATTGTGTCCGATATGATTCTGACTTGCTCTGACGCCATGCACACATGGGCAGCGATGGAGCTGATTGGCTCTTTGATCAAACACAAACACCATGTTATGAAGAAAGTTTCTGTCAAACATATCTTGTCCAGTTGATAATATAAAAGGGAAATAAAGGTTATAACTTGGTCTGTAGCCTCCAGATGGATCTAACAGGATGTTAAAATGTCTATGACTTCCTGTATGTTCTTTAAAGACTGCTTGAAACTGTCCCACTTGACTGAAGCTAATTTGTCACCGCCCCATGCTGCTATCTGATCTCGTCCACCTTCCAGGCGAGGCCCATTTCATCTTGGGCAAGCTTAATGTCTGTCAGCCCACATAATGCATCATGTCCTGTCAGTACTAGTTCTGATTTGATTAGTGGATGAATCAATTGGCATAGAATTAATCTACAACAGTCGTGACAGTCCATTAATTTACATCATTAGTCAATCACAAGTGCCAAACGTGCAGGTCCCTGCTGCTTTTTTGTTTAGTATCTTTCAAAATTAAAGGTCTTTGGTTTTTGGACTCCTGGTTGGAGAAAACAAGCAAAACAAACAATTTGAAGAAGTCGGCTCTCGGAACAAGTGTTTATGTCTTTCTTTTTTCACTATCCTTTAACATTTTAGGATGTACAGTGTAACATTGCCTTTTTTTTAACAGATAAAAGCTTTATTTATTTGTACAGCAAATCACAAGGTTCATAAAATAAATTGTTGTAAAAGTACAACAGTGCTCCTGGATTAACTGGACAACAGATGACAGTAATCCACTCTAGTTAATGACAGCATGTATGAGTTTGTTGTTATCAGCAAAGGAGCACATTTCGCAGCTGATATCCAAACAAGCTAATATTATACAATTGTTACTAATATGAGTGAGATCACTGGCAAGAGCAACACCAGCATTACTGATGTTGCTTTTGGCTGTCATGGACAAGGAGTCAATATACAGTGACATAAAAAAAAGTAAAGCACGTGAAGTCTAATAAGCTCCAAACCCTTTCCTTCCCCTGCGCAGGAAATCACACTGTGGAGGAAAGGTGACGTGGTGAGGAAGAGCATGTCTCATCAGGCCGCCATCGCCTCTCAGCGGTTCGAGGGCTCGGCTGCCTCAGAGAGCGCCTTGGAACAGGCTGCAAAGGAGGAGAGCGGGTAGACGAGAGCCGCAGCCCTCCAGTCTCCTCTCACAAGACTCGTCTGCGTCAGATTACCTGTCAACTGTACAACATCTGGTGAAGCAGCTGTTTTATTTGTAGCGGCTGCTGGTGGTGGTGGAGGGAGGAAGAAGGGAGACCGATACACAGTAATACATTCAGTATGTGAACAATGAAACAGTTTGCATGAGGCATTCAAAGTGGCTTCAGGCTGCTGGTCTTGACCTTCCTCATTAATGCATTTTTCTTTTCTTTATGGGAATCAAACTAATCACCTGTCGCAATGTACACTGTGTTAAAACCTTTCATGTGATATATGTTGAATTTTTAAGCCTTCTGTCGGTTACTTTCATGCTTTTTGGGATAAATTCATTTCTAATCTCTTTAATTAATGCAGTTGAATTGTCATGAATTTTTCAGAAATGTATCTCCAACATTCCACCATTGTTGAATGCATTCCTAACACTGTTATGAGGTCAAGAAATCTGAGATAACTTTGCACTGCTTTAACTTGCTGAACACATTTTTCTCTTTGTGTGTGTTTGCACAAAAAAAAAAAATAATGAAAGCAGAAAATTTCCTTTTTGAGCGAGAGGGCTGAAGTATTATGATCTGTAAATAAGACCAGCTAAAACCTTTTATCCTGTTCCAGCTTGTGTACATTGATTATGCAGTACAGGGTGCCACACGATGACCTTTCATGTTCATATGCTTTGCCTCGGCATTCCAGCGGTGTTAGGAAAGGGTGTTTGTATTAAGGTCCGATAGTATGAAGTCTTCTGTATCCTCTTTATTAGAGACTTGAAAGTTGTGCCTAAGTGTGTCAAGCAAATGAAATCCTCCTGCCTCTTTAACATAATTTTAGTCTTTTAACCAGAGAAAAAGTTACAGTAGAACTATCTATCTTTTGCAAAATGCTAATTAATTATTCCCTGTCCCTGAAAGTCAAATAAATTGATGCCAAATGGGAAAAAAACTGAGTTAATGAGTTTAAGTGTTTGTGGCAGACATGATAAACCTGAACAGACTGGGTGGACAGATGGATAAAACACCACATGACACCTCCACATCACAATGACATCATCCTACTTACACTGCCATGTACAGTACACGTGAGTTGTGCAGTCATTGAGCCATTTAACACTGTGCGACAGCTTTGGACAGGTAATGTAGTCAGTATTCACGTTTTTCAAATCCATGTGGATCCTCAGCCAAGTAAATGGTTCCTAAGTTGCGCGTACATCAACACAAAGCTGCGAACTCATGCTAAAACAATTCAGTGGTTCGTCAGGCGACAAAAAAAAAATCTGCAGCTACCTTTATAAGTAGTCGTCAAAGTTATTTTGTAAGCTAAAGCAATGTTATCGTCAATGCTATGTAAACAGAGACCAAGTCATGACCGAGACCAGATCGTATCAAGACTAAGACAAGACCAGACCAGTTGGAGTCGCACACTACATGACACACTTAAGATAAAATGTGGAACATACAAACCATGGAACTCCTCACTTAATCTGAAATCTCCACATTCCCATAAAAACACCCACAGAAGTTAAATTAAGATTCCTCTTCATTCATCTCTTTAACTGTTCATGTGTGCATGTGTAAGTATACCTGAGAGAGATGTCTTGTTTATGTATAGGAATTTTCATTTGTTTTCTATGAGTAAACAAATACAAACACTAAGGAGATTATATATACTTAATATTCTTTATTCAACATTCCTTTTGTGCACAGACAATTTTGTGATATTCCTGGCGTTGCAGGCTGGACTGGTCCTGAAATAAAATTTGGAGTCCTCTTTGGCGGCTGTGGCTCAGAGGTAGAGTGGGTTGTCCACCAATATAAAGATAAGTGGTTCGATCCCTGGCTCCTCTGATCAACATGGCAAAGTATCCTTGAGCAAAATACTGAACCCCAAATTGCTCCCGATGGCTGTTCCATCGGTGTGTGAGTGACTTAAACTGAGTAACAGGTGGCACCTTGTATAGTAGCCTGGGCCACCAGTGTATGAATGTGTGTGTGTGAATGGGTGAATGTGACTCGTAGTGTAAAAAGCGCTTTGAGTGGTCGGATGACTAGAAAGGCGCTATACAAATGCAGGTCCATTTACCATTTACCATTTGGCTGAGACTGACACAAGACCGAGTGAAAATGTGGTCAAGACTGAGATGAGACAGAGACCTTCAAAAAGTGTTCTTGAGACCAACACCATTTTCATGTGCTACAACACTGGCTAATGTGCCAAAACTTCAATGGTTCTGACTTCTCTGGTGTTGTGTTGTTTTAAGATGAAAACTTGGTATTTGTGCATTTGCAATTTTTTTTAATGGATTTTTTTTAACATCCAAACAAAAAAATCATCAGATTAACCAGTTGTAAAATGAGTAGTTGCAGGTCTATTGCAGAGTGTGATGTTACAAAGAATACAGAAAAGCGGGCCACCAGTCCATTGCAAACTATATTTGTAAAAAGGCCAACAGTCCAAAGTTCAAAAATAGATCAACACTACATCACAGCTTTAAAAACTGACTCAATCAAAACATCTACAGTATGACACTTTTAACAAGAACTACATAAAGCTTGAAGTTATGGTCCAGCTATTGAAACATCAATTTGATCTTTTTTTCCCCGTTAAAGGGGTTTTTTTGGGGGGGGAGTTTTTCCTTATCCGCTGTGAGGGTCTTAAGGACAGAGTGATGTCGTATGCTGTAAAGCCCTGTGAGGCAAATTGTGATTTGTGATATTGGGCTTTATAAATAAAATTGATTGATTGATTGATGAAGACATCTTTAATAGTATCGACCAGACGTCCCCAACCTGGGAACTGGAACTACGCCAAGAGGAAATAACGATTCGTCAAAAAAGAAGCAGTCTGTACAACACTTCTCCTTATCACTTCCTGTCACGCAATCAGCAGCAATATCTTCAGTATTTTAATAAGGGTTTGGTCATCAGTGAATGAGGCAGAAAGCCCACCATCATCACCTATATTGATCAGCAGGGCCCAGCTGTTCAGAGGTTTGGATCAGATCTTGAAAGCAGGTTGTTAAAAAGAAAATGGAACTCTGAACTCAGATAAGATCACGTAATCCAGTTTTGGTTTGGGATCTGGATCAGACCTTTAGTATATTTTGTTAAAAACTTTTTAGGGTTTAGGATTGGGACACCTTTGATTAGAAAAAATCAGGATTATCAAAAATTTAATAGACGCCTTTAAATTGGTCAAATATATATATGTTTATTCATATTTTGCACTTTATTTGTTGACCAGTTACTGTGATGAAGTAGTTATTTAGCTCAATATTAAGCCTTTTGGTACAGTTAATGTAATGAAAGGATGTCATCCACATAAAATAATCCCCTACATAGCAGTCAAAATCAAACAAAAATGACTTAAAATTATAATCTCAATGACCTCCTTTTCATTTTCTTTGGCAGCACCCATGACATTAAGTTTTAAATTGCGGTGTGTTTGTTGGCAAACACACTGCTGTGTTTTTGATCTTGCAAAGTTTGTATCTGAATCAGGGCGATCCAGTTTAATGTTGCTTTGAAACACCGGTACAAAGGCAAGATGGATTACCTGATCCTGGACAGAAAAACATTCTGATCCAGATTAAAATTTTTGAACAATTGGGCCCAGTACATGGAATCTGTGCAGGGATATTACCTGAGACAGGTTAAGGTCTATCAGTATATCTTTAACAGATATGGCCAGCTAGTTCACAACAAAATTGTCAGTATAAAAACAGTATGGTCGAAAAAAAGGTTTGCGAGCCAATGGGAGTCGTTGCTATCCATAATGACCAAAGAATATGAGGCCATTTTACAGTACATGTAGGGTTTCAGATAACACTAATACTCTCACACTTTACACTGAGAAACCTGAGAGTTCTGCTCGCACTGAAACATCTTTTATCTCCCCGCTCACTCGACCATCACTGGACAGCAGAGGACCCTATTATAGAAATTTATGGAGTGCAGAATGTGAGGTAATGTGAGACTGGCCTCTTATGCTGCTATATACAAATTACAAGTTGAGTAATGGAAATAAAACAAGCTCGAAGCTGTTCTGAGGGCAGAGGGCAACACTAATCAACATTACAAGCTCATGTTATATCTAATTTATATACGGCTGCTGTTTTGGATCCAGACTGTGATTTGAAAATCTTGTATGCAGCAGCTGAAGGTGTAGGTAAAAACAGGACCATAAGCCATAGTTTGAAAAAATTACATTTAATAATATTTATGAACAAGAGAAAAACACAACAGTGCTGTAACTAAGGTCGCTGCATCATGATTTCACTCAGTCACGAAGCATCATCTGGTCCAAATCCTCACAAAGGCTCCTCATCCTCCAGACTCAGGACAAAGTCAAACTCTTCTGCAGAGAGAAAGCAGAGCGACCATTCACAACCTGCCCACCACTATGTACTGAAACAAGTCACAAAGTGAGAATGTCTTCACGTACCGGTAGTCAGGGGCTGCACAGAGAGCCTGGCCCTGGTAAAAAGCGCCATGTCCTTCAGAGGCCCTCCTTCGGCTCGGTGCTGCAGGTGGTACTTCTTCAGCTCGGACAGAGGCAGAAAACGCTTCAACATCCTCTGATACTGGACATCTACCTGAGAGAGAGGAGAACAAGATCAACCTTCATGCTTGATAAGTATCAGTAATTGTGCTTTTAATCCCTGACTGAGTTTACCATGCTCCATTTGGGGTTGTCTGGTTTACTGCTTGCATCGTAATGGACGTCTTTCTTGTCAAACTGAGTGTGGTCCACGTAAGATTCCTTCACAATCTAGAAAAAGAAAGCTGAATATCATGCCTGTCTGCAGCTGTGTTTAAACAGTTTATATTATACTATCAGCTGGGGAAAGAGTGTGACTTGCTTTTATGATTCCTGCTATCCCTGGCTCCTTGCAGTTGCTGTGGTAAAAGAAAGCCGACTGCCCCTCTTTCATCTGCCTCATAAAATTGCGCGCCTGCAGATGATGGATAATTCAGAGGAACATTCCCGCACAGAGAACAAAAAGAGCGAGACAAGTAAAGACTTTGCACATGGCTGGTGAGAATAAAATGACAAAAAGGCCTTTTCTGAGCGGTGCCTTATTGCAGGTAAACATCTTTACATCACAGGAGCCAGTTTTGCGGCTCTACCTGATAATTGCGGACGCCGTCCCAGCAGCTGGTCTGACCAGGCGAAGCTTTCAGATCCTCGATCCCGAACTGCAGGATGGAATCAGATGCGTCAGACGTGTGCGGCCCACTCATATTTTCCCCCCCCAAAACAATAGGGTGAGCTGATGAGGCTCTGTACCTTCACGTCGATCCCGTTCTCGAAGCGGCTCTCGGGCTCAGACTTCATCAGCCAGTGGCAGTAATGTGGAGACTCTGAGCTCTTCTTCTTTGGTCCAGACTTAGCTGCAGCTTTACTCTTACTGCTGACCGTTTCTCCATTATCACCTTTGCCTGTTGTTGCAGCAATAATCATCACTCATTAGTAAATAACACACCAGACTAGATGTTTTGCTCTGACACTTAATTTGCCTACCTGAATCTGCTGTTTGACTCACTCTGGCCCTTTTCTTTGGTGGCATCTCTCGCAGTCTGTAAAGAAGCATGTACAAACATGATATTAAAAACATTCATATTAACATTTCTTTTTTCTGTGTACATGCACTGATGAATCTAACTTCTAAAATTACAGGCGCCATTTTTTTTTTAACTGCACCATGTGGTGTATTTGTCCTTTTTATATGCACATCCGCCACAACTGTAATTACAAAAGGGGATGTGAAACTACTTAACTTTAAACTAGTTAAAAGTTTTGGCGCTTCTAAGCAAATCAAATGTGGCAACTTTAAAAACAAAAAACAAAAAAAACAATATAAATAATATTAGTACTTTTTAAATTGTAAATTAATATTTATTCCTATTGATAAATTACTGACAGAATATTGACTTTTTCACTTCAATTGCAACCCGCATCTTTCAATGCTGTTTGTGAATATAAATGAAACTAATTAAATACATAAAATAAGCAGTTAAAGTAATTTTTCAATTAAGTTTTTTTTTAAAGTATTATGTCACAATATATAACGTCATTGACACTAATATGAAATTATACACACTAATATAGACTGTTAACCAGCCAACCCTTAAACACATAATAAAAACCTGTTGCAAGAATAATTTCACTATTTGCATTTATGATCTAATAATTATTTCCTTGATTCACTGTTGCAACAGAAATAGAAACATATGCCCTACTTTAATGACACTGTCTTTAGCTTGTTCCTCTTGGTTTGCAAACTTGCATTCACCACTTTAAATGAGCAGCACTTGAATTTGGGAGGAACCTCTTCATCATCATCATCATCATCATCACCACACATGATGGCAGAGATTAGCTACAGCTTTAACAACTCCGCACAAATCTGAGCAACACGTGTAAACTAAACGTGCCTCATAGTATCAAAGTAATACAGATTATAATGCAGCTCTGGTGAGTAGATAACCTCTATAAACACTGATAAATCGTACCTGACGTTACAAGCAGTGCTCCAGGTTTAGAGATCAGCCATCAGAACCCGCGGAAAAACCAATAAATGACGTCTACAAGCTTATCGGCCCACTTTTATCTACTGCTAGCTACTTCCGTTTGTGTTGTAACGGATATTTCTTCTACAGGCAATGTAGTGAACCGTAACCCCGCCAACTAAACCTGTCAACCAATGCGTTAGAGGCAGTCACGGACGGTCCTGTGAATATCTCAGGGAAGCAGCGGTGAACAGCTCTTTAACGGAGGTGTGGCGGTTAACCAGACGGTTATTTGCCAACACAACCCGCTAGTCTTCAGCATAGGAGTCTTTTAGCTTGTAAAAATAGTTTTAACGCTTCTGATAACGTATAAATCTCACCGTTGTGTGTTTTCTCCATGTAAGTTTGCTATTGTGACTTCTTCTTCGACTCAATGTGTTGCACTAAACTATAACGGTCTCTTTACTGCCCCCTGTGGCCGGAGGACAAAACGAGCGACACTTCGCCACTAAACTACATTTCCCAGCAGCTGGTAGCAAATGGTTGTATTTGATTTAACCAGAGAAACTGTAACTATATTACTATATAATAGCATGCTAACGTTACTCGAGAAAGTGGTAGGATTATTTATCTGATTCACACTCCGAAGCAGAAGGCAGCGGTAACGCACCTCCATTAAACCCGAGAAGAAGAAGCAGCGCGTGACATAACGCTGTGGAGGTAAACATGGCGACTGTCGGACCTCTAGGAAGGATAGCCAGACTGGGCTCCAGCATCTGCAGAAACCATCGACTGGTGTTAAACAGAAGCCCACAGAGAAGAGGAATAGCTTCATGTGTCGACCGTAAGTCCCAGAAAACGGAAACTGTTAGTGTTACAATGTTATGACAGATGTGTGTTATGAATGACCATTTGTACTGAACTTTGTTAGCTAACAGTAACAGCCCGGTGTTGATATTCACTTTAACTGCTCCCGGTACACACACTTAGCATTTTTTGACTGTGAATAAACAAGATAAAGTAAACACACACAGCCCATTCAGAGCTTTAACATTACATGTACCGGTGGTGTTACTAAGCTGCCATTGGTCAGTTCTGCACCGCCCCTTTTCTTGCTCTGCATGTTCTGTGTGATATGTCAGGCAGTTTTAGCAAACCTGAGTCGGTTTAATATTTTATTAATTTATTGTGGGGAGTCTAGAGGCTTTCCACACTCTGTGCTAGTTTCCTACTTTGCACAATAGTGGAAGATGCTTTACTTCAGTAAAACCTCTAATACCACACTGTGGAAGTACTCAACTACAAGCAAAAGTCCTGCATTCAAACCTTATCCTTGTAAAAGTATGAAAGTATTATCAGCCAAATTGACTTGAAGTGTCAGAAGCACCCCCTGTGCAGTAAAACGGTCCCTCTCAGTGTTTTTTCATTTATATGTGATGTTTTTGGGTTCATATAACTGCTGCATGTTGCATCTCACTGCTGTAGATGTTTAAGGTTTTGCCAATAATCAGTACCCAGACAACTTTCTCTATCCCACCAGGGGCAATTTGTTTGAACAGCTTGCCTTGCACACATACTATAGCATGCAGTAACATGTAGGCACATGAATAGATGAGTAATAAATGAAAACACAAAATATGCCAAGGAGTTCAGTAGAATAAATGAATCTAAAGATAATAAAAAGTTAATAGACTGATCCTCAATAAAAGGAACAAAAAAACAATAAAATCAATTAAAAAATATTCACAAAGAATTTAGAAGACCAATTGCAGAGTGAATACAGGATTTTGAATAGGGGTTAGTTATTATACTGTTGGGTAGTTTAATCTACAGCAATCCATCATATTCTATAAGACCATCATATGTTCTCATGCATCGCTGTCCTGTGAGAACCACATATCTCTAAGAAGTCAACTTTTCATGAGCTCAGAACATTTTCAGCTTTGTGACGATGCATTTTCTAGCTGATCAAAGAAGTGTTCTAAAATAGTCTTTTTATCTTAAAATGTAGGAGAATTTTCTCAACCCACAAAGGAAAACTTAATTCTTCAATGTATCAGAGAGGTTCACATTCAAAATCACCAAATTAGGAGATACAAAGAGGAAAAAGTAAAGTACTTGCCTCTGAAATGTGATGGAGTAGAAGTATAAAGGTGCATAAAATGGAAATACTCAGGTTCAGTACAAGTAGGCAAGTAGGTCCATTTCAGCAAATCTGGACTTTATGAAATATAAACTCTTATATTGCAGACCAATGTGACAGATGCCATGCATCTTCTTGTAATTTGAGTCATATGTTCTTCTTCTGACCCAGACTATATAAATTCTGGACTGACTTTTTTGTGATTTAAACAACCTTGTATTCCTGTATTTGGGGTATCATCTGAACAACTCCAAATTAACTCATCACAGTCCAAAATATTAGGCTTCACTTCCCTTTTGGCGAGATGTTGCATTTACTCCTGTGGAAATCTATATCCCTGTGGCTTAAGGATGTTGTGTCCTTTCTTAAATTTGAAAAAATAAGTTTTGCACCCCTGTATCTGTGCATGATCACACATTATTTAATCTATATTAAAAATATGTTCTCTGCTCTTTGTTGACAGCTGCTCATGGACTCACAGATGAACAGAAGGAGTTTCAAAAAGTGGCCTTTGACTTTGCAGCAAATGAGATGGCTCCACACATGGCAGAGTGGGACCAAAAGGTATGTTGGATGAAGGGGAACAGTGTGTTAGTAAGATGATGTAAAGGCAGCAGACCTCATAATCTCTGGCTAGAGGATACACCCTGTAAATGCAAGCGTCATTTCTGGTGAAATATTTCTGAGTGACAAAAATCTCACATCCTAAAACATAGTTATCATTACTGTCATTTTGAAATTATTGGCCTGACAGGTGGCACGTCTGCACCTACGTCATCCCTAACTGTGAAATACCTTAGCAACTTAGCAGCTTTACTTTTACAGTCATAAGTACAGTTGGGTCTGATGCTGATTGATAGAACATTCTCTGTCCAATATGCTTAATTACAGTTTTAACATCATCATCATTTATAGTTGTATATGTTTATTTTTCCACAGGAAATATTTCCAGTAGAGACGATGCGAAAGGCAGCCCAGTTAGGTTTCGGTGGGATCTACGTTCAGCCGGATGTGGGAGGATCGGGTCTCACTCGGCTGGACACGTCGGTCATCTTTGAGGCCTTGTCCACAGGATGTGTCAGCACCACAGCTTACATCAGTATCCACAAGTATGTACCCCTCATGTGGCAATGACGGCATGTCGATTAGAACATTGAAACATCGTGAAAAGATTAGTTGTTTGGTTGTTTCTAAGTCAAGAGAATGGATTTCATTTTGTTTAGTGTGTTGCTCTTTCTAACCTTCCACTTTATCCAGCCCTATAATGATAGCTGTGACATATTTTTATATATTTCCCTGCAAATTGGCAGTATGCTCCTTTTCTTGCAGCATGTGTGCCTGGATGATCGACACCTTTGGCAATACTGAGCAGAGGGAGAGGTTCTGTCCTGATCTCTGCGCGATGGAAAAGTTTGCTTCCTATTGTCTCACTGAGCCAGGTCAGTCTTTGTATAGGAAAAAAATCAACCCCTAACATTTAGTGCAAATTAAAGATTATTTTACAGTGACATAAATTCCTAGTTTATGTATGGAATTTATTGTACATCAGTGTTGTTGCTCTATACATGTGTGCACTTCAGTGTAAGGCCAGTAACACAGTAACCCTGTGATCTTTATTTTAGGCAGTGGCAGTGATGCAGCTTCACTTCTGACCACTGCACAGCTGAAGGGTGACCATTACATCTTGAACGGTTCAAAGGTAACCTCACACCTGTCTGTGCTCACATGTGGCTTTAAATAACTGTAAATTGTTTCTTTAAAAAGACAACAGTGAGCCAGAAGCATGTCTTGTCTCTTCATGACCTTTCAGGCCTTCATCAGTGGAGGAGGAGACACAGACGTGTATGTCGTGATGTGCAGAACAGGAGGTAAAGGAGCGAAAGGCATCTCCTGTTTGGTGGTGGAGAAAGGAACCCCAGGTCTCAACTTTGGCAAAAAAGAAAAGAAGGTAGGGTTCACTTGGATTGTTGAATTATTTTTGCTCTGTAGCTTGTGTTAGCAGTGAACCACTAGATGGCAGAAGTAAGTCACAGTAGCTGTTTTTCAATCTGATCTCCAGGTGGGTTGGAACTCCCAGCCGACCAGAGCGGTGATATTTGAGGACTGTGCCGTTCCAGTGAGCAACCGGCTCGGTGAGGAAGGACAAGGATTCAACATAGCCATGAAAGGCCTGAATGGAGGCAGAATTAATATTGGTGAGGAGGAAAATCTATCCCAGTCGCTACCCTTCTATTGCACTGACACCCAACATATGTAATCATTCCCATAGCTAGAGAAAATGATTCTGATCACTGATAATGGGAATTATTCAGTTTAAATACAGATATTCTGCAGATATAATTAATTATTTTGCGAGTCAGTCTCGGAAGCAGGTGGGAAAGAACCTGTTGGCAACAAATTTGTGCATTATGTATGTGCATACTGCTAAAAAAAGTTGAGACTTGAGGTGGTTAAATGTGAAGAATGGTTTTATTGGACGCTGTAACCTTTTCAAGAGGAAATAACACATTCTTTTTTAAAAATTGAAAGTTTAATTCAGAAGCAGTAAAATGCATCTTTGCCCAATAAGTACACTCAACTGAACTGTCCCTTTAATCAAACATTCTTCCAACAGCTTCCTGTTCTCTCGGGGCAGCACATGCCTGCGTCCAGCTAGCGAAGGACCATCTATTAGTACGCAAGCAGTTTGGAGAGACGCTCTCCAACAACCAGGTAAGTAGCTCATACACAGATCCCACATCCAAAGGAATAATCATCTATCCTGCCGGTGATGAAGAGCTAATCTTGAGTTTGTCCTTCCTTCTCTTTCTGTCTGTTTTTAGTTTCTTCAGTTCAAACTGGCAGAGATGGCCACCAAGTTGGTTGCGTCTCGCCTTCTGGTGCGTGAAGCTGCGACAGCGCTGCAGGAGAGCCGGCCTGACGCTGTTTCTCTCTGCTCCATGGCCAAACTCTTTGCTACAGATGAGTGCTTTAATGTAAGTAATACTGAGTAATAGTAGGGGTATTGTGTGTGTGTGTCACATATAGGCTGAGTCCTCTGCAGAGGCTTGGGTTTGATTCCGACTTGTGGCCCTTTGCTGCAGGTCATCCCCTCTGTCTCCCACCTTTCCTCTGTTTAGCTGTCCAATCAATAACGGCAAAAATGCCAAAAAAATATCTTTAAAAAATGTTAAATATTATTTTACTTGTCTGCATTAATACCTGTTCTTACTCAACAGATCTGTAACCAGGCTCTTCAGATGCACGGTGGGTACGGTTACCTCAAAGACTATGCAGTGCAGCAGTTTGTCCGTGACATCAGAGTCCATCAGATCCTAGAGGGTGAGCTTTTATAACACTGGCTTTACTTTATGTCCTGTGTGTCAGATTTTATTATTAATTCTTTGTATTTAAGACAGCTGTTTGCTTGCATTTGTAACTCTTAAATTCTCCTGTTGTTTTCCCCAAAGGCACAAACGAGGTGATGAGGATGATCATTTCCCGAAATCTGCTGACTGAGTCTTGATAAATCTTTTCCCCTTGATCTTCGGGTGACTTTAGTAGTGACCATATTGTTATGGTCATCACCTCTGGTTTGTTACTGTGTGACTGATTTTCCTGAAATATCTTCCACATTGTCGGTTTTCTAAAAGTGTCAAGGTCTTTGAAAATGTTTGGGATAAAAGGGTTGTAAAATGTGTATTTTAGTAGTATGATATTAGTTATTTTCTGTCATTTTAGATATGGATGGCAATGTCTATTCATCACTGTGTCCAGAGTGAAATATCTCAGTAACAACTGCAAGAACATTTGGTACATTAGTGGTTTTAATAGACTGAATCAGAATAACATTGGTAGTCCCCTGCTTATTTTTCATGAGGTGCCACCTGCAGATCAACATTTCCACACTATTGACTTAAATTTCAGGCTATACTCTGAGGTAAATGCTAATATATCATGTTAAAATGCTAAATATTAGTGTATTACAGTAACATGCCAACATTAGCATTTTCAGCTGAACGTAACTGTAATTACAGTAGACAAAGCACCTTTTATTTAGGAGGCAACTATGTGAGCCTCAGTCGTGCTTGAACTACTGTACATAGGAGCAACACTGTGTCTGCAGCCATGCAAGCAGCTCTGTGAGGCTCTGTGGCAGAGCAGTGCTGATGTTTAGCAGGTGTAACGTTTACCATGTCCACCGTCCTAGTTGAGGCTTTTAGCATGTTAACATTTGCTTGTGAAAATTTGACCTGCTGATGGTGCTTGATTAAAAAGTTAAAGGATCACCACAGTTATCACAGTTCATCGTGAGGGGAACATGAACGTCATGTAACAAGTTTCATGGCGGTCCATACAGCAGTTTTGAGAATATGTAATTAAAAGCCAAAAAGGTCAACCTCATGGGCTGCATGGATGTGGAGATGCTAGATTTAAAAAAGTCATATAAAATTCACCGCAATCCCTCTAACAGTTGGTGGGTCGACGTTGCCATCTTTAAGCCCTTGCTGCTACCATCACTTAAAACCCCCTTTGGTTTCTGTAACTACATAGCATTTTCTCTGGCACCGCCACCACCAGTGGCAACAATCAAATAATAGTTTAGAAGAAAGGTTTAGTTTGATTTTTCATCCACACATTTTGTTTCTTGTGAAGCTGCTAGTGTGAACGTTTTAGTTTTATTAGCATATATACATCTACAGAGCCCCTAAAGTCCCAAAAGCTGGTATTTTTTTATCCTGTGCACACAAGTTATTATCTTCTCCCTACAAAATACATAACTTGTTTTGACAAGATAATAACTTGTCTGCACAAGACTTTAGAGGCTCTGCAATAAGCTGCTCTTGACACCAGTTTCACTCAGTTTGTATAAAAAGGTTGGGATTCTTTTTTTCATCATTTATAATTCAGTGATGGGGTTGAACTACTGTACATCACACATCTGTATCCCATGCAGTTCCAGCATCACTGTGCCTAAAGTGGCCTTTTAGATCGTATAAATATCCTTGGTTACTGTATTGTTACCCTACATGCTGTGTGTATTGTGGGATATATATTGAAATGTTACTTTGCAATTTATGTCTGCTGATCACACTCCAAATAAAATAATGTCAGCTTTCATAAAAGGAATGAGCGGTTTTATTTGCACCCTAAATCTCACTTTACTGGGACTTATTTTTCTTTTACATTTTCTGTCATTTTATGTTGGCCCTACACCGAACGACTTGATTTAGCTGTCGAGACAAATTTCCAGTGTCGGAGTTAAATCATGATTAATTTAAGTTTTTAGTCTTGGCTCATGCAAATATCGAATCTTCAATCAAGTGAAATTTGTCAGCAACCAGCAGCTGCGCTCTTCAACACAAAACAGGATGCATCAAACAGGGTGGACAGTAATGTGGAACGGACTCTGGAGAGGCAAGAACGTTAACAAGACTGTTCTCTTGGACTCTGGAAAAGGAGGAGAAACTGGTGGATGTGTGAAGTGAACAAGAATCAGTTTTTAATTGGGCTTATCAGATCCACCAATCAGCACTTACTTTAATGGGAAATCCTAATTTTTTAAACTGTCTGCCTCTTATTTACACGGTCTCCCCACTGTAAAATAGAACAGCTAACAAACAGGCTGGTGGGCAAATGTAAAAATTTTTCACATAAATACAGTTTATCTTTATGGATTAAACCGATGCCAAATTGACAAAAATTATGTAAACATATGACACCTTTAATATTGTGTTTCTAGAGTTATGTGTTTTTGCGGACATGCAAGGAATTATTAATATGCCATTTTTCTTAAAGGGTAGTTTGGAATAATATATTCCACCAGGAGCGTGATGGGAAATAATCTCAAAAGGAATCTGCTTGTAGTCTTGCAAATAGTGACCCTGCAAGATCCTCAGTCTTTGTCTTTTAGTGTGTGACTAAAAACTTGCATTATCTTTGATGTGAGAGGGGGTCAGACTTTAGTCTTTTTAAAGTATTAAAATCTAGTGCAGTGGATCCCAACTGTTCCAGCCACAGGGTCCAGGTTGCTTCCAGATTTGTTAGTTATTAGTTAAAGTCCACACAGTTAAATATATTCAGCATCATTCTTGAGTTTGGCCATGTTATTGAGCTAGTTTGCGGTGTCAGTCAAGTAGCTGTCTGTTAGTCACTCACTCTACGGCAGGAAACTGCATTTAAAATTAAACCTCTGTGGCGCAAATTCCCTGTACTTCAAAATAAACTGTGTTTTTTACAAACTTGACATACTTGTAAGTCACTTGCGGTCCACTCAAAATGGACCTGCACCCCACTTTTGGACCACGACCCACCAGTTGGGAACCACAGTTCTAGTGTATGGTAGGCAGCATAATGCGTTCAGTGGTGAAGTGATTATAAGACGGCTGTGCTAAACTCTCAAACACTCCAGAACACTTTATTGAAAAAATGATCAACAATCAAAACTGCATTAAAAGTGCTACACACAAACACAGCAGCAGCACCACCACCTGCTGTTTCTGTATACTTCAGTCTTGGAGCTGTCATGATAAAGACTTGGCTCCTCTGTAGACTAAGCTGTGTATGTGTCTGTGTTATAGTTTTCTCTCCTGAGAGATTCTCTGGCTCCACAGGAGTCCTGCCACCATCTGACAGCCCAGAGGAGAGCTGTGTGTGCGTGTTTGTGTGTATAGCTGACACTCCATTTCTTCACTACGCTCTGCTGTGATGTGGTGCTAGCAAAAAGGTGGAATATGGTCCATATTATATCGCAAAATTTAAAGGTCCAGTGTGTAGGATTTAAGGGAACATATTGGCAGAAATGGAAATTAGTTTGTTTTCTTTTGTGTATAATCACCTGAAAATAAGAAGTGTTGTGTTTCGTTACCTTAGAATGAGCCATTTACATCTACATTGGGAGCAGGTCCTATCTACAGAGATCGCCATCTTTCATTGCCATGTTTCTACTGTAGCTTAGAAGGGACAAACCAAACACTGGCTCTAGATAGGGCTATTGGTATTATAATGTTGGCCACCATACTTAGCTGCCCCTCTGCGATGAGAGTGGTGGGAAAACAGATTTTTTTTTAAGTGACACTGCTTCATTCAGTGTTTTTACCGATTTAAATCAACTGATGTGTTTTTTTAGAGAGGAAGAGAACTCCATGGTTAATTCAGCTCCTGGTAATTACATCATGACCATCCGGTTGTTAAATTACCAGAGAAAAAATGTGAGCGCACGTTAGCAGGTGTTAGGCTACTGCCCCCTCTGTGACAAGCCAAACAGCATTGGAAAAACACTGATTTATGATGTGAAATTGCTTTAGTCAATGTTTTTTCCGGATTTATTCAGCTGGACGTTTCTTTTGGAGAGAAAGAAACCTCTGCAGATAATTTGGCTCCTGGTAAAAACCTCCCGAAAAATGAACACTGATGGAATTCCAACCATTAAAAGTTGCAATCTGCGATGTCACCACTAGATGCCACTGAATAGCCTTAAAGCTTACACACTGTTCCTTTAAATGATGTTGAATCTTGCCCATAAAGTGTAGCCTTCCACTGCCACATAACTTCCAGAGTTAAGTATACTTACAACAAAAAAGACCATCAGCAGGAAGTTTGGTCAAATATCATCTCATCGACTAATTATACCAAATTATACAGAGCACCTTTGAAGAAAATAGCAAGAAACCCTCAACTTCAACATGTTTTACTCACTATTTTGGTTACATTCCAACTACCAGAACAGGCAACATACTCATAAATGTTCTCTCAGCAGACATCACTGTCATGGAACCGTACTGACGTTGTTAAAGCAGGGTGAATAAAACAACCCTCACATGAACACAAGTAAATGTGGGTCAAAAAAGCAACAAAAGATGAAGTTTAAGTACCTGAATTGTGATTTTAAACTAGTGCAGTTAGCCTGAGAGAAGTCACTGAAAAGTCACTGAAAAATGAAATCATAAAAATTTGTATATATTTAGTTATTATACAAATGTAGCCAAAACATTATACCCTGCAAAACTCTAAGCAAACTGAACTGTGCATTATGGTTTACAGTATCCAGACACAGAAGGTATATCTCTCTTGGAATCATTATGCCCATTGGATCATTTTGAAGATGTCTTTATAAGAGTGTAAATAAAAATATATTTCTTACAAAAACTGAAATGAAAAAAAAAAAAAAAAAAACTAAGGGACATGCGAGACGTTTTCTCTCTCACAACCTTTCAGGTCTTCATGGAGAAAGTGCTTTCCATTTCAAGGCATACTTTCTCTCCATCTGTAACCTCTGTCCTCCCACTGGCTGGCCTACACCAGCGAGCCTGCTTGGCTCTGAGCAGGCACCATGACGGCTACAGCTCCCATGCGTGTCAGAGTGGAGGAGCTGATCTGTGGGGAAACAGCAAGTGGAGGTGGCACCTGAGGCTGAGCCCCCTCAGTCCTATTGGGCATGGCGATCGCGGGGCTTCTGAGAAGCTGCGGAGGGCCCCCGTTTGTACTTGGAGGTCGCTTGTGTTTGCGTGACGGCGTGCCTCCGATGTTGTAACCGGGCAGTCCCTGTAGCGTGTTGGCTTCTCCAGGTCGCAGCTGGTAGGCGTTGATCACCGAGCCAGCGTCTGACACAGATGTGGGGGAGTATGGGTAGTGGAAGTTGGGCTGGTGGGGGTCTCGGGGTCGAGGACTGGTTGCTATGGAGGACAGTGTGCCGTTCTTGGATACGATGTCTGAGCCGGTGTTACTCTTTGCCCATGACACTCGCTTTGGTGCCTGAGCATCCTCCCTGTGTGTGAGAGAGGAAAGAGATTGAGAGGGAAGCAGAGAAAGCAAAAACTCATCATTAATGAAAATGATTAAAATTAAAAATGACAAAAAGAAAATGGGGCAGCACACATTCAGCTGCAGTGTTCTGCACTCATACTGAGCTCTGACAAAAAAAGCACTTGTACATGCAGATTTTTAAATGACCCCAGTTTTATACAGTGTTTATTACAAATGCACAACAGTGAGCAAAATGTTACTAATATTACTTTAAACAAGTAAAAATAGTGATAGCACAAATACAAATAAAAGTCTTGCATGTATATGAATTGTTATGCTAGAGCAGAAATATAACAGTAAGTATTGTATTGCATTTTTCTTATCAAATCAATATCATAACTATTAAATGCAGAGGTTGCTTTGGATTTAATGAAGGTAAAAATGCGAGAAGAAAATGTGCGAGCGCTCGCCTTACTTATTTGTGAATTTAACGGATCTAGGCTTCTGGCTGGTGGTGCCCCAAAGAAACGAGGAGCTTTAATATCATCATAATGAGCAAAGCCACGAGTACAATAACACATAAAAATGCAATACTCACGAGAAGTACATGTACCTACAAACTTGACAACACTACTTTAGTTAATCTACTTTGTTTCTTACAGTAACACTGCAAATACATAACTTCACCCTTAGAAATAAGGGTTCCAAAAGGGTCCTTCCTAAAGGGCTGAGGTTCAACTTAGAACCATCTGCTTCTAAAGAGCCCTTTTTTGAAGGTAGAATTCTTCAAGGACTGTTGAAAGATTAGTGTTAAAAGAGTCTCACCCTCAAATATTTAAATGTTTAACCATGTTTCAATTTGCATTTTTTTAAATGTAGATGTATCTGGAATTCCCTTAATCAATTAATTTTTCTTGTGTTCTGCCACTGATGATTTTTTTTTTACCATCAAGCCATATAGTACCACATGGTGTGATAACACTTTTGGAACTTTTGGGCTATGGTAGTAGTGATTCCACAAAAGCTCCACCCCCTAAATATGTGATTGTGAACCCTGAGTGTTCTGTGCTGTGCTGGACCAAATCAGCCCGGGCCCTATAGGATCTCAAAGAACCCCAATATTGTTGTACAGGGTACCCTTAGCCCCAGGCAAACCTGTTGTTAAAATGATGGTTATTGGGATAGAAATCAATGGATAATGTAGTCAGTCACTATTTTTCGAGCCCCCCTAGATGGGTTCTATTTGAAAACCTTGGAATTCAAAAGGGTTCTCGAGGGAACCCCCTAGATGTGTGAGTAAGCACCCTTGGGGCGGTGGTAGCTCAATCCATAGGGCTGGGAACCAGGGTCACCAGTTCAGGTCCCCATTTGGATCAAATATAGTGTGGACTGGTAGCTGGAGAAGTGCCAGCTTGCCTCCTAGGCACCGCCAAGGTGTCCCCAAGCAAGGCACCAAACCCCCAACTCCCCAACTCCCCAGGGCAGCCCCCACCCCAAATTCCCCCCATTTAACCCTTTGAAACCTGAGCAAATTGGCCTGATTTCGTTTAAAAACATGGGAAGAAGGCAATGAGCACCGAAAGAAGAAATGACCCAAAAAATTAGCAAGAAATTACTGAAAAGAGAAAATTATAAAAGAAATTTAGTAAAAACAGAGATATTGGATAAAGGAGATACCCCACCGTAGGCTTATCCAATGTTAAGAAAATGGTTACTCTTCCTGTCTCCTAAGTGGGAGGGAGCCCCCCCCCCAAAATCTATTTATTTATTTTTTGCAATTTGTAAGACATTTTTAGACATTTTGAAGTTGATCATTGCCTTTTTTTTACCATGTTTGTGAAAAAAGTCCCACCACTTTGCTCAAGGTTCAAATGTTGAAATACTTGCGAAAGGTGACTGAAAGCAGCACAAGAAAGTGATGTTGCTCCAGGTTTCAAAGGCTTAATGCATGTATAGGTCCTGTTTGTGCATGTGCGTGTATCTTGGATCTGTGTGTATATCACAACAGAGTGAAAAACATTTGAATTTCCCCTTGGGGATTAATAAAGTCTATCTTCTTCTTCTTCTTCTTCTTAGAAGATGGAAAGGTTCTGAATAGAAGCTCCAGAGAGGGTTGAGGGTGGAACCATTACACCATAGAAAGTTTTTCTGTTGAATCCCCCCATAGGGTTCTAGGTGGAACCTTTCACATATGATTCTAGGTATTAACCTTTATGTTTGGTTCTTGGTAGAGCCCTCTGAAAAGGGTCCTATTGGGACAAGCCAGAGAACTGTATATGGTTCTAGTTAGTACCTTTATTTCTAAGAGTGTTGTAAAGCTGTACTTCAAAGCCTGCTATCATCAGTTTTCACTTTATTAGGTCGACTGTGCAATCTAATGCAATCCAGTACAACTGTTCTGCCTCAGAGCACTTTTATGATGCCTATAATGTTCAGTTTTTGTTGACACTGCCATAGAGTGGTTCATTAAATTATATGTTTTAGCACTCTATGACTTCAGCAACAATGTCACCAAAAACTGAACATAATCTTTGTAGAGGCAGAATTTATGACAGAGCTGTTGTACTAGATTGCATTCGATTGCACAGGTGTACCTAATAAATTGGCCACTGTAGTAAAACTCTCACTTGATCTCGTTGGCCATCTCCTCCTCAGTGTCCCTTCTCCGTTTCAGTATGAATATAAGGAAGAGCACCATGGCCACCAATCCCACCACGGACCCCAGGGTGGCTGCTGCAATCATGCCTGCGTTGGAAGCTGGAAAACAGATCACACATCAGTATGAACACTTAAAGTAAGTCACAGTAGGGGAGTGTAGTGGAGTTAAAATATTGTGTACGTACAGGTGATAACCTCCAGGTTAATGGAGCAGCTGTCGGAGCCGGCAGTGTTGCTGGCTCGGCAGATGTACTTCCCTGACATGCTTTTAGTGAGGTTGCTCAGCCTGAGGGTGCCGTGTCTCTCATCTGCGAAACAACCACACAGTTACAAACACATCACAATCACATATTTATGTGAGCTGTGCAAATGGGCTCGGTAGAATTAGAGAACTATAAAGGTCAACATTACATTAATAGCACACACTAGGGAACTATATTACTAAAGTAACAAACACAACTTTACTGCAAGAATGAACTGAGGATCATGTCCTTGTTAAAATCGTTCACACATCGTGTATATGAAGAAAACAACAGCACCATCAATCAGTCATAAATGAATAAACTGACAGAAATAGAAAGTTTCTACTGTGTGTAAGTTTCCTATTTCAGATAATTCAGCTAGTTTTTGTCTGTTTTACACATGCTGCTGCATGTTGGTGTTTGTTAAAAAGACTTTTCATAATGCATTAAATAAATACACTGATGCCTGATCCGAATAAGTCACGAGCAACACAGATGAGCAGCATGTGCCACGTGCACAGTAGTTGCAATGTCTACCCTTAAATATTTTTTTTCAATGCAGCTAACTTGATATCAGGTGTAATAATAGACAGTTGCAGTAGTAAAGGCCTTATGATGCTACATCTGCTGCTCTCTGTTCCACTGTACATTTTACACTGGAGATGCTTTTATTTTCATGTTACGTTATTTAAGTTATGGTCGTCAATGTTTTTGCTATTAGGCTACATTGAGTGTTGAGTTATATCCAGTATTTAACACTGGCATTATAGTTCCTTTGCTATTCTAAATACCCAGATTTCAACTTTTGCACAAAGTTTCACTTTGAATTTTATTTTGAATGTTTGCACGGTACTGGCCAATAAAAATGCTGCTAGAAGTTTTGTGTTATTGTGTTAGTTATGTCTTCCTTCTGGGGAGTAGAATGTTTGTTTCGTTGGATGAGCATGATGTATTTTATATGGCCAGGTTAAGCAAAGTGCATCCATACTACTGTCTTATTAACATCTTGGTTGTTGACACACCAAGCTTAAGGCTGACAGTAGGTCAATGTCGGGCCATTGGTGAGTGTATTTTGCCCACACCGTTAGCACTAGTTTGCCTGGGTTGGCTTGTTTCAGCCCATTCAGCATGTTGAATCGTCCAAGCTCATTGGTGAATGATATCACTGATTGACAGCTCAGCTCAGTGCACGAAAAGAGAAACATGAATGACAAAAGCAAACAAACAACTGAAGTCAAGAGGGCATGAGACTGAAACAAACTTGTTATATTAGGTAGAATTATTTTAGGCATTGAGCTCTTTGGCAGAGATGGTGCGGAATAGTTTGTGTTATTGTCCGCTAGCGCACGGTATCCTTGAGTCTTTCAACATAGGGTTGTGTTGTTAATGTGCTAACTGGCTAACAGCCATCTTAAATGTCTCTGTGATGTTTGTTTGATATGTTGTGTGTATCACATCATGGTGGTGTTGAGTCATTATTTACTGATTCCCACCCATAATCCAGAATCTAATCCACTATTGGCTCTTATCCAGCACCTACAGTACCTATATAGTTTATCACTGGTGCAATCCTGCAGCAGTCAGAGCTGCAGAGGATTCTGCAGTCACTACATAATGATGTTTGTCAGCAATTTTTGTTTCAATATTTTCTCACACCAAGGTCATGACACAGCAAAGTTAAATGTGTGTGCATCTGCCACAGGGCTGTCACAACTTGGTATTTCCATTCAACACAATCTGTTCCTCTTGGCACATCTGGCTTTAAAATGCTCTGTTGTTGTTGCAAACATAGGCTGTAGAAAAATAAACAAACTCTATGAGGGACTTATCACAACAAATCCTCTGAAATCCAATCTTAAATGTCACATCTCAGCATGTCTTCATCTGATGTGTTTTTGCTTTCGTGGGGAATGCAAGGGAATGAGAGTAGGTGTGCGTCTGTTTAGTGGGATCACCCTCCTGAAGGGTGTCCGGATGGGTGGGTGTCTTAAAAGTGTTCGTGCACGCCTGTCGCACTCTGCGCTGAGTCAATCCCCACAGAGGGAAGCGTAAAGCAATTCAGGGACTCGTCCAAATCATCCCAGATAAAGTCAAGGTTCACATTATGCCAGCAAGCAACATTTTAATGCAAGAGGCCAGAAAATCCTCAACAATCACTGTGTTCAAACAGCTGCGTTCCTCACAAAGTTTGGGTGTACTGTGGATTGAGCTTTGTGTCTGCACCATCTGCTACTGCACCACCAGGAGCGAGGTTAATGTAGGCAGGTGCACACAGACCACTGCCAAGAGTGGAAGTACAGTAAATCTGTCAATACCCTAAGATTTTAGGTAACTAAAACAAGTGTAACTCGATGTAAATTCAGAAATGATCTGCTATAATTTGCTGCTGATAAGAAACACACGTCCATGTTGGTCTGGCTAATGTGTCACACAATTAAGAACACCTATATACACTACAGTTATTACATGTTAAAGTAAGAATACTGGTGTTCATTAACTGATCATAGCTTTATCATTAACCTTTCAACCAGAGTATTAAAATCATGCCACAGAAATCAAAACAAAACTTTGTGCCAAATCAAACAGTGGCAGATGAGTGTGATATGCCCTTATCCCTCTCTGATTATTTAATCCCCCTGGCCTGAAACCCAGCTGTGAAGAACCAAACCCAATTGTGACAGATAAGCAGAACATCAGCTGACTGGGAGCTTGGAGCGAGTTCAAGCCTGCACAGTGATCAGATCCCAGCGGCGGAGCTGACGTTACAGAAGGTGCTGCCTCGAATCAAGACTGGGGCATTACTCATATCATGTTGCCGTCACTGCAAGGTCACTGAGCGGCATTTGTCAAAGCCCCTGACACACTACACGTGATTAATGTAATTCAGTTTCTATAGGAAGCTCATGGTATAGTTTGCCTCCTCACATGACATCGACCAAGCTGCAGTGGATTAGTTTTCACAATTAATGTAAAAGACCACACACACAAACAGAAATGGTGTATCAATTATTACAATTAATAAACTGTTGCTAAGGATTAGGGCTGCAACTTTAATGATTACACCAACAAAAAGGTCTCAAGATTACGTGTTTCATCAGACAAATGGTCCAAAACACATTCAGTTAACAATAATAAATGATAAATGAAACTACAGCTAGCAGCCAGTTAGCTTAGCTTAACGAGTAGTGGCAGGGGGTGACCAAGCCCCCAGGAGCAGTGCCGGGATTGAAGCCAACCATGAATTTACAATTTGTGGGTCCGTCAAGTGACGCCATGGCGCCCTAAATAACTTCTCCCTATAGACTTACAATGTGAACAAGATGCCTCAAACTCAGAACATCAACTTCCCAGTACAAACACTTAGACTGCCCCTACTTACATCATGTCCTAAAAGTTGTAAAATGCACTCATAGCTGAAACCAGAGTTTCCTGCCCAAGATTGAGCGGTTGGGAGCATGGATGTATAAATGTATCAGGGTCAATTATACAGCAGTAATATGTGTCGCAAGTCAAATGTACATTTGTAATATTAAGCATTATAATTACACAAAATTTGGTTCAGTTGTTGTTACCTGACACGCTTAGGCCTCCGTACTCAATATGTGGAACCCTTGATAACCCGTTTCTGTACCCTTACGTTCACCTTTGGGGGTACCCCACTGATAAAAGGGGTGTCTCCCTCCTTGCCTCTCCCCTTTTGCTGTTGTACTCCATGGGAGAGGTAAGCGACATTGCTCTTGTGGTAATTTCCATGTTTGAACTATGTAAGTTCATTTTATTCTAACATAATCTTGTGGCACCTAATCTGTGTAGGGGGCTGGAGTTTGTATGGTTGTGTATGATGGAGGATTTTTGCCATTTGTTGTCAGGAGAGGATTAAACGGAGATCGCCTCTGAAGATATCCACCGTCTGGGCCTCTTTATAGCTACACAACACAGACATCACTAGAGTCCACTTGTTACATTACCCAGATCCCCCGCATCTTTGGGCTAACATAGCAGGCACACCAATGACTTCCACTGGCAGAGTGGCTAACTACTGGTTCAGCCCTCTTAATGTAATTAAGAGGGCTAATTGTGGCGAAAATTATTTAATTGCACGTGTCTTCTAGTCTTTAGAGATGTTATCAAACTGACTGGATCAAATTCTTATAGTGAAAGGAGTCATTTCACAGGGCTGTGATGCTTAAAAATATTTATCCGCTTATTTACAGACATCTCTTTCACAATGTAGGTCTATGGGAAAAGGACCAAATGGCATCACATGACAATTGATTGGTTGGGTGCCAGGTTAAAGGAAATGCTAGTGGGCTTGCTCTATAGGCCTATGGATGCAGAAGATCTGAGTTATTTAAGACCTGGAAGTTGAACTTTTTCAGCTTCTTGCACCACTGAGCAACTTCCATAGGAATCAGCAGTGCTTCGTGTCCAATTCTGTATCCAGTTCTCTTTATCCATCCATGGGGGTAACAGTTAGCACACTCGGATTTGTCTAACGATTAAAAAAATCTGCCTAACAACACCAAATATAGTGTAATACAGCACTGCAAATACAGCTAAACCTAACATGACACACATACTAAAAAGCTTTGAAGGACAACTTCAACCCTTCTCACAAAAATGATTCTGTATGTGATTTTTTAAATTCCTGATATTCAAGAAAATATTAGTGATGGTACTGTGTTCACCAGACTACACTTGACATAAGATTCCTTGAGAGTTTAACATCCATATTTTTGATGATTTAATAAATGGAGGGTGAATGTGGATTTTTAAGGTTGAGTAGGATTTATTATTACCCGGCTTAACAGCTATGCTTTCTCTTTTTTGATGGTAATCTTTTTTGAAACATAATCCTATAAGCATTCTTACAAACTGGGTTGATTTGTTTTCCTTTAAAGCTTTTCGTCCAGCTTATGGCTGTGAATTGAGGAGTGGCATGTCGACCCCTAGGTGCAGGTGAGGACTAAGGGGGGGGAAAAAGATGGAAAATGGAAAATGGGAAAATGTAAATGTGAAAACCCTTACCCATGAACCCAAGGACAAGCATGGGCTGGGGACAGGCTCTCCATTCTGTTTTTAGTATTTGTGCAGAAGGAAAGATGGCAGAGAGAAAGAGTGATGATGAATGAGAGGTAGGGAAGAAATGGTTAAACTGATGGGGAGGGGTTGGAGTGAAGTCCCAAATCCAACTCTTGCCTCTTAGAGAGGTTGATCAAGTAATGACATGGGGCTTGTTAGATTAGGCACCAAGGTTAACAGGAAATGAGGAGTGCCGAGAGAGGATCAGCAGAGAGAGAAAACAGAGAGAGAGATTGCTGAAAGAGATAAGCAGTGATAGCGGAGATCAAGGATCATAGAGAGTCATAGAGAGAGAACACAGCAGCGTAGATGAAAAACATGGGTTTGAACTTGTGTGTGTGAAAGGGTGGCGAACACACATGTGATGGAGGCGTGAGTGTGCATACTGCACTGCAGAGCCCTGGGTCAATGCACAATCAGAGGGAGTAGTTTTCATTTCATGAATCTGAGGACGTTTCTGCCATAAAGAGATGAAGGCCAAAGATCAAAGCAGTTAAGTCAATATGCAATCAATCAGCCTAAGTCCTGTTGCTCAGAAGCAGATGGTGTTTTCTCTGCAGCATCATCTGGAAACAAACAGTACAAGTGTAACAGAGATGCACAAATGCCTTTTATTCTCTCTCTCTCTCTTGCCTGGGCGGTGAGAGGAGTGTGTTGTGGTTCGAGTTATCTCAATCTGTAAAGAGGATTTCATGCTGCATGTTATGGCACGATCGAGGATCTTCCTCCGAGGTACATCTGGAGCATCTATCAGTAAAGCCCACAGGCAGCGTCTGGTCATGTGTGTGACCTGACGACACGGACTCAGCTTCATCTGCATGTAAGGTGTTAGAGTGCATGACATTTAGACCTGCACCTCAACAGGCTTACAGATCAGCTATCTACCATTTTTAATGCTTCTGTTCGACACATATCTATGTTGACAGGGAAATGAGGCTGGCTGATTGCTTTCACGTCTTTCGCTCTCCAAAATTACCCACTTTAAAGAGTAATAATGTGACGCTATTTTAACAAGGATGCCTGAATGTGACATGATGAATAAGTGTAAGGCTTGCCTCAGTTGTGTGCAACCTATAATAAATGAATGAAAAAATGCATTTCTGTAAAATCTGCTTTTGTATACATTTATATGAACCTAGGAAAAAAGAATCAAGAAATTGGTTACAGCCCCTCCCATACTAATGTTAGTATGACAACAACAACAACAAAATGCTGTGTAAATCTGCATTATGAATGCAATAACCCTACCTAAAGAAGCAGTATGTAGGATTTATGGGGATATATTGACAGAAATGGAATATAATATAATACATATGTCTTCTTTAGTGTATAATCACCTGAAAATAAGAATCTTAGTGTATCTACATAGAGAGCAGGTCCTTGTGCAGATCACCATGTTGCACTTCCTTGTTTCTACAGTAGTCCAGAACGAACAAATCAAACACTGGCTCTAGATATGGCCATTTGTAATTTCAATTTTTTTGCATCAGCTGTAGTTTGCAACACCATTTTTAAAAAAAGGAAACTGCTTTATTCTGTGTTTTTACCAGTTTAAATCACCTGGTCTGTTTGTTTTGGAGAGGAAGAGACCTACTACCACCAACTGATCTTAAGGGCTGTTTCATAGTCGACGCAAAGGCACGCAGACGCAAATGCATTGGGACGCATTGAGACGCATTGGCCGCCATGATGTGTGCTTGCGTCTCAAAATGTGTTGTCCATTTTTTTGATACGCGATGCAGCGAGGCGTGTAATACCATGCGTTGTCAGTGGGGTAATAATGCAAGTGACGTACACACTTTTTGTTACTCACAGAAGAAGCAGGTATGAAATATGACGGGCGAGGAGGAAAAACTAGTGCCCTGCACTAGAATAGCAGTACTAGCTAGCTACAGCAATACTAGCTAGCCAGAATGTACTGTTGACTCTGCTACCCCCTATTGCGCGAGCGATGTATTGCATTCCAAGTGTCGCCTGCGTCGCTTACGTTCAATGTGTTGACTATGAAAGGAAGTGCATTGCTCGTGAGGCTTGCCTGCGTTGCGTGCGTCAACTATGAAACAGGTCCTAAGTCATGGGAGAAAAACGGTCAGCACACATTTGCACGTGCGGGGCTAGCGGCCTGTCTCTGACATGCCAAACAGCATTTGAGAAACACTGATTTGTAAGGTGAAATTGCTTTATTCAGTGTTCTTACTGGTTTTAATCATCTTGTGCGTTTTATTTTGGAGAGGAAGAGTCCTTTGCGGACAATTCAGCTTCTGGTAAAAACCTCTTGAACAATGAACACTAAAGAAATACCTAACGTGGATACGTTTCAGCTGGCTGTAGTCTGCATCATCACCACTAGATGCCACTAAATCCCCCTAAATCTTTAACACTGGACCTTTAAAATCCAGTTCCTATCCGTTTTTTAATAGGCATGATATGTTTATGTCAAATTCTGGCATTTTACAAAAGAACATTACACTCGTAGTTTGAGTAGTTCTTGTGACCTTCCTCTCAGGCTGCATACAAGCCAAAAACCTCCACCAACAGGCCTCCTTCATTGAGGACATTCTGACATGTCACAGCAGGAGATGCACAGGTGTAAATAACAAAATTAACGATGGCTCAACTCCCGTCAGCTGCTTCAGTTTTAGGCTCCTGGTATCGGCTCACTGTCACACTGTCATGGCTTACTGGGGTAGCTGAATAGAACATTGATAACGTTATCAGGAACACTTGTGTTTCTCCTACTATGACAAGTCAAAATGTCTGCTGTGAAAAAGGTCCGTGAGATAAGGGAACCTGCATGTAGCCTGATAGGCAAAACCCAGGAGAAATAAACCGGAACTAACTCGCTAGCCACCGCCTGCTGCTCGTTAAGCTTAATTGCTGTGAACTCATGGTAATAAGGTGCCTGAAATTAGCTGTGTTTGTTGGGACTCCTGCTGCGATAGAAAAAAGTAAGAACATAGGTTAAATTACATTTTTTCACTGCTCCAAGTGTCACAAGCCTCCATTTTATCTGTGTGACTGCAGGAAAGCTGGGCAAATAAAACCCCAGTTATCTACTACAGTAAGTATTTTTTTCTTAATTTGGGTGTAAATGCTAAATCCTGTCTTCAGAAATTACTCACTCTGCATCGGGGAGAAGAAGACCTCAGACAGTGGTGCAGCCTTGGTCCATTTGTACTGAGGGATGGGTTTTCCTTGACTGGACTTGCAGCTCAGAGTCACGTTGCCCTTCACCACTGGGTTCCCTGTCATGGTGCACACTGGGGGAGAAGGAGGGACTGCAGAGAGAGACAGACAAACAGACAGACAAACAGGGTATTATAACTAAATAACACAGGGTCAATCACCTCATATTGAACTTGTATGTTGGGCTTTAATCTACTGCAAACAACGTGGAGATTTCTCAGGGCAGTGGCCATATTGCATATGAATAAGTAAATGTTTTGATCCCGCGCTGTTTCATCAGCTGCTGGAGGATGACATAATAACCTCAGAGCCAAGTGAATCCCTAAACAGCAGATGAGTTTTATGTGGACGGCGCTTACTCACATAAAGGTCTGATTTTTAAGAGAACGACCTAAAATCCTTCAAAACATGTTCAGCATTTACTGTGCCTGAAATTTCCAAATCCGAGGACATGTGCGCGGCTCTCTGATTAAATCTAACCTTTGAAATTCCTCTGATGCTGTGGTCCATTACCTTTGACATTAAGGCGCATCTCTCCCAAAAGGCCAGTACTTCCAGGGATGATGACAGAGCAGGAGTAGAGTCCAGAGTCAGACTCCTGGGTGTTGTTGATGTAGATGGAGAGGTTGGCTGATGGCATGGCCGCGCTGAAGCCCACTCTTTTGGTGAACTCATTCTGGCCGTGCCCGACCTCGCCTGAGCTAAAGTTTATCACCTGAACCAGAAACAAAAACGCATGACCATGGAAGCACTGAACACGGCAGCACAGAATCATTACACTGTTAATTATTAATACTCGTAATCAGACATTTTGGAGACTTTTAATAAAATAAAACACAATTTGAAAATAAGGTAATACAGAGACATTTACTCTCTAGTCATTTGAGTTAGATAATTTTAATTTTAATTTCTGCCACCATATTAAGATGCGCAGATTAACCATATAACAGAAATCAACGTCCTTCATAAAGATAATCCCGACATGTACAGATGGCAGATGTTGAATTTTAGGCAGATTTTCTGTTTGAGATAAGCTCGCAGGCATCGGACACTGACACTGTTTAGATTATATTAATCATGCAAAGACCCTACACACCCTCACACACACACACCCTACACACACAAACAGTTTCACCAGCAGTTCATGCCACGTGTGCTGTAGGAGGTGCAGCAAAAAGTAGAGATGCAATGTCATTAGTGGCGTTCTGTCGTTAATAACAACCTTACCACCTTCCGCTTTGAATTAAAAATCTGTAATGGTGTTGGGAATAATCCTTATCTGTACAGATCTTCTTACAAATCACTAGATGGGTTTCTCAGCACGTAATATACCCGTCATCAGATACAAAAAGGCTCTCTTCCTCTCATGTAAAATTCAGATGACGTATGTCTGGTACAGTAAAAAGACTTAGTGCTGCAGCGATTAGTCAATTAATCGATGAGTCATTTGAATCAAAATTTAATCGCCAGCTTGTCTGATAATTGATTAATCATTTCAGTCCTTTTTCAAGGAAAAATGTCAAACATTTGCTGGTTCCAGTTTCTTAAATGCAAGAATTTGCTGCTTTTCTTTGTTGTTTATGACAGTAACTGAAGAGTCTTTGGGTTTTGGACTGCTACTTGGACAAAGAAGCAAACTGAACACATCATTCTGGGCTCTGGTAAAGTGTGATAAGCATTTTTTACACTTTTATAGACTAAAGGATAAATACATTAACTGCGAAAAAAACGGCAGATTTCCTAATTTATCTGTCAATTATTTTCCCCATTAACCCATTTAAAAAATGGCAAAAAATGGTATGAAATGCTGATCACCGTTCCCCAAAGCCCGAGGTGACATCTCCCAATGTCATGTTTTGTCTGACCGACAATGTAAACTCAAAGATATTTCAAATTAAAAGGACAAAAAAACAGAGAAAAGCAGCAAATCCTCACATTGGAAAAGCTGGAACCAAATAATATTCGGCACTTTTGCCAGAAAAAAGACTTAAACTATCAATAAATCATCAAAATAGTTGCCCATTCATTGTTTCAGCTTTATTTTGCTTTGTACAGTAAATATAGTACTGTTGTTGTAGTAGTAGGATCAGCAAACACACAGAACATCATTGTAATCTCTTTAAAGAGGCTCTCATTTCTTTACTCCACTAGAGGTCAGAGCAGGGTCAACTATAGAGCAGATCAATGCAGATTGACTTTGTGACCTTCTCACCTGCTTGGATTCATTTCCCCTGAAGTGCCAAATGACAGAGTTTTTGGAAATGTCTGAGTTGGGGCTGTACCACGCGTGTAACACCACCATCTGGCCCTTGACCACCTCCATCTCTCCTTTGGGGAACTCCACATTCTTTGTGTCACCTGGAAGGACAACACAGGAAAGTGTTAATCAGTGATGTAATGTAGCAGAGGCAAAGCAGTTCTTACTGGTGTCATGATTTAGGGCAGACATAAGTTGTATTTATGTGATGTTTATTTCTTTGTTTATTTAGTTCTTGCATGTCCAGCTCCCATTTTGGATTGAATCTATGTTTTTTTGCAGGGCTGCAACTAAAGATTATTCCATTCTGCTGATTATTTCATAATATGAAATGTCAGAAAATAGTGAACAATGACTGTAACAACTTCATAATGCCAAACTTGACTTCTTTAAACATCTTGTTTTGCCCAGCCAACAGTTCAAAACCCAAAGATATTCAGTTTAAAATGTATAAAACATCTGTCAATTAATTCTCAATTAATTAGTAAGTTCTTTGGTTTATAAAATATAAGAAAATGGTTAAAAATGTCGTCCAGTATTTTCCAAAGCCCAAAAGATGGCGTACACAAATGTCTTGTTTTTTCCACAACCCAAAGATATTCAGTGTACTGTCACGTAAGAGTAAAGAAATATAGAAAAGAATAGAGAATAGAAAATATTTACTTTTAAGAAGCTGAAATCAGGGAATTTTCACTTTATTTTTCCTAAAAAATTACTGAAATTGATTAATCTAATACAAAGTAGTTGTGATTAATTTAATAATTGACAACTAATCAATAAATCATTGCATTTCTACAAGTGACTAATCAGTTAATGGATTTTTTTTTTTAGAAATTTTAGACAAGTGTGTCAGGTGCACGTTTATTCTGCTTTTATAAAAGAATAAAATCAGGTCAAATATGACAAAAAACGGATGAAAATGAATCACTGTGCTGCATGTGCACGTCTCTGACACTGGAATTTGTCCATTTTTACAGTACAAAAAAAGATCAGACAGAGGACACATGAAACAAAAATTAAATTCAGTAAAAATCTGCAAACATCCCCACTGGACTCTGTCATCAAGTTGTATTTCATAACTGTGACATCGGCTGATCTGATCTCTTATGCTCCTTTATAATCACCAGCAACCTCAGGATCAGGCAATCCCAAACGTGCTCTGACTCCCCCCTGACGTCTTGACGTGCATCTGTGTGTGTGTGTGTGTGTGTGTGTGTGTGTGTGTGGTTGTGTTGTCCATTTGGTTTCTGTACATTCAGCTACTCATCAAAGGCGAGGCAAATTTCTCAGATCACATGGCAGCAGAATAAAGCAGACTTTGGCTTCAGTGGTAAAGTTAAAAAAACCTGCATCTGAGTTAGATGATCACATTATAATAACTGACATTCAATTTCTTCCACCTTCAATTCCTCACGTTAAAAAACAGCCCTGTCTTCAGCTTTACATCCATGCATTTTACAGATAGGGTTATAAATGAGTTATTTAGCTGCAGAAGTAAAAGTTTAGGAACATGGTTTATGAGAAAACAAAATTTTAAGGACTCATGCTCACACGTCAATAAAGTACAAATAACTGTCTAGAAACTATATATATAAATATATAATATTACTGTCACTCAAGAAAATGAGCTATAAAGGAAGGACTGAATAGAAGAAGACAAGATCCTAAAGAAAACAAAAGGAGGATGCCCAACTCACAGGGTGCCCAGTCACCCGAACCGGACAGCTGAAGCTGGATCAACTGATCCCAGCAGTCGGTGTCCACCCGTGTCTCCAGTTTGAAGATTCAAAAACTCACACCAAGGGAAAAAAATTACTCGTGCCACTAAATCCTTCTACCGCAGAAAATACAGTGAATTGTGTCCCTCTTGCGCTCAGATAGCCAGAGTGTACAGTTAGAGGGGAATACACAGAGATAGAAAGAGGGAGGGAGGGAGTGTTATGATCCATAGACAGGCAGCTGCAATCTCCACATCTGTTCAGCCAGGCACGCCTTCCTTCTTTTCCAGAATGAGCGCGTGTAGAGGCAGGAGAATTAGGCGATCAGTAGTGGTGGTGGGTGGTGGTGGTGGGGCAGGAGGGTATACAGATGAAGAGGAGGGAAGTGTATGTGTGAGGTAGAGATTTTAAGGCAGAAAGCACACGAGAAACTTGTTTTTTTTTTTACTTATTTAGTTTTGCTGCAGTGACTCAGTGCTTTCTTTTTCCTCCCGGGACAATGTGACCCCGCCGCTGAGGCGTTCCTGTCCCTTAATTTCTGAATCTCTGGAGCTGGTAAGTCCTGCTGACTAATCCCTAAACAATCCCGGGCTCAATCCTCTCACCTCACGTGAGCAAAAGAGCTCAGCTGGACATGGATATGATCTGACACATGGTCACTTCAGCTACCAACGCTGCTGCCACTGCTATCATCATCATCATCGTCATCATGGCAACAGCATTTGCATTCTCTAGATTACGATTAGCAGATCGCTTTGCTTTACATTTAATTATTCATGTCATGCAACGTCTGCCGAGGCTGTTCGTGTAGTAGTCCACATGTTATGAGTTTGAAATGAAGCATCCTGGCACACATCTGAGGAAACTAGGCAGGTGAGAACCCAAAAGCAAAACAATTAGACGGTCAATGTAGCAAGCAAGCTCAGTTAACTTGGTCAGACAGGCAAAAGCCAAAATACTGGATAATCAGTCACTCAGGCAAACAAATCCAGTGAGGAGTAGGCAGGTCAGGTGAGGTCAGGGAGTCAGGTAAGCTGGATCACACACAGGTATGTCAGGCAAACCAGGGACAGGAAAACACTTGGCAATCAGATAAATGAAAAGTGAAACAGGATTGGTGTATATACTGTGTGTGTGTATAATGAGGGGAATGAGCTGCAAGACCAGCTCAGTGGCCTTGTGGTAGAGTGTCCGCCCTGAGACTGGGAGGTCGTGGGTTCGATCCCCGGCCGGGTCATACCAAAGACTCTAAAAATGGGACCCATTGCCTCCCTGCTTGGCACTCAGCATCAGGGGTTGGAATTAGGGGGTTAGATCACCACATGATTCCCGAGCGAGGCACCGCTGCTGCTCACCGCTCCCTCAGGGGATGGGTCAAATGCGGAGAACAAATTTCACACATTCAGGTGTGTGACAATCAGTGAAGCTTTACCTTTACCTTTACGTGAGGAAATGGGCATGAAGTGCCAGGTGAGGAGAATGATGGCTGAAGGGAGAGGAGGAATCTGAATTGACAGGCAAAGAATTCAAACAGATGAGAACATGATTAATTGTTGGTGGAATTTGTGACACATCCAACATGTGAGGGAAAAAAACACTTAGGAGTGTTTGATGGCACAAAAAAATAAATAAAAAATTTCAGCAGACATTGAATTATCAATTTGAGAGTTTTCTTTCAAGTACAGTTAAATTGGTCTTCCTCTTTAACACACTAAATGTGATCTCAGGGTTACACTGTGGGCAATGAATAATGTTCCTGCAGAGCGATCACAGGCTACAAACAGTGTACAGAGTGGTGCTGCTTTTGTAGTTGCATAATCTTGTGCGAAAAAGGTGATGGCACATAATTACAATAATAACTTCTTCCTTTCCAAACACAGTATCATGGCAAAGTTGAACCTGCAAGGGAATCGCACTGAAACAGGAAGGTGAATAAGAGAGCAAGTTAATATTCACAGAAGGTGCTAATGTGAATGTTGAAGAAATACTTCACTGCTGGATGGGCTGTCTATGCATGAAAGACACAGATACTTTCTAATATGGTGCTGCATGACCAGAGGAAACAGAGGAAAAGAGCTGTGGCATATGCGTAAGAGGTAGAAAACCTACAACTACCAGAATGCACTGTGCCGCACCAGACCTATAAATGCTCCTGCTACTGAGTGATGTAATGCGAGCTTAGCCATTTTAACACAGGAAATAATATGGTGTCTGGTGAGTAACAAATGATCTCTTATCAAGCTTAAACACTGGATGTTTCTCAAAGTCAAGGAAGGATCCTTAGAGGAATTTCAAGGATGCTACATCATCAAATCCCCCCTAATGACTGTTCCAATGTCAAGGATTCTTCAAATTCTACCGAGGACAGAGTCCTTCATTAAAGGAATTTTCAAGGATGCATGTGTGTATCATCATCAATTCTTTGTGCATGATTTGCTGGAGGTGAGGGTGGGGCCTCTTCAGTGAAACCTGCACCAGCGAAGCTCGTCAGGATTTAAATAAATATATCATTTATTTGGACTAATATCTCCAGGAGTTTTTATAATACAAGCATGATAAACATATTGACAGAAACCTCATAATTTACACTTCCCAATGCGTCCACTGCCAAATAATGACATTTTTAAAAGAATGCAATATACATAAAACATGAAAGTTTTTAACTGAATCATTTACAGCAGTGATGGAGTGCTAAGTGCTATGATTTGAGCTGAGAGATGAGCAGGTTAGATCTAGACACTGGTAAGATTGAGGGAAGTTTACCACAGTTCATTTACACATACTACCCACATTGTTACAGTACGACACAGAGCTGGTTGAAAATCAGCAAAGTGTCCCTTTAAGCACAGCATCGCTTTGAAATATATGTGATCGTTGTGCTCACAATGACAACATTAAGATGATGATTTCAGTATATGCATTGTTAACAGTTTTAACTCTATTAGTTTAGTGTTTTAGTATGCTTACATTTGCCATTTAGCATCTCAAAAAAATTAGGGCTACGGCTGAAAGTTATATCCTTTTTTTGTTGCAAATGTTTGGTCATGACTCAAAGCACTGGACAAATTAAAAATTTTGACTGATACTAAATTAAAGGTCAGAGGATCAGCAAAGTTATTACAATTCATCATGAGTGGGAATATGAGTGTCTGTGCAAAATTTCATGGCAATCCATCGGATAGGTACGGAGATATTTCAGTCTGACCATCATGCCATTCACAGAGTGGGACATCTACCCACGCAAGAATCCACAGCCATGCTTTTATTAACAAATGAAACCATGCCAAACCATGTGATGTGTATTATGAGATGTACATGCCAAAAATCTTGCCCTGCCTTGTCATAAACCATGTCTTCATATCCGGCATTTCCTCCTGTCAGTG